GTTGGTTGGAATCTTCAACAACTTGAAGCTTTGTTTGTTGGTAGTTAATAACCGAAATGGAACCTCATTTAGGTCTATAAATAGGAGCCTTAGGTAGTGCAAAAGTAAGAAAACTTTTCGAGAGTGAAAGATGGATAGAAAGTGAGATTTGATAAGAATGGTAGAATTCTTATAAATCTGGAAAAATCTTTCTTGTATGATTTCAAGTGTTTAAATCATGTTTTGCTTTGGTAATAAAGTGTCGGAAGATGATTTCTTCCTGTTTAAATCACTCTTAAGTGTTGAATCTTGCTGGTAATCACATTTTTTCTTTAAGTCTGTGAGTTCAGAATCAATTTTAAAGCATTAGTGCAAATACGGTAAGTTGCAAGTATATCCGGTATGAAGAAGCGATATCCGGTATGCATAAGCCATATACGGTAAGTTCAATTTCAGCCAATTTTTCTCCTTTTCTGCTGGTGCTTTGCCGATTACTAAGCTTCTTAAATAAATATAAAGTAAAGATAGCCTCCAAAAATCCCAACAGAAAGAAGCATGTCTGTTTCTCATAAAGTTCTGTCTCACAATAATGCTTTAAAGTTTGTGGTGAGCTCTAAGCTGATGTTTTTACCCTCTCTTGGCCAACAATTTGGCTCGTTCACCTCATGGCCGATGGAAGATAATGGCCACATGGGACTGGAATTGTTGGAGTGACCTATCTAAAACGAGTTAACTAGAGGATGACTCAAGTACACAAGCTTCTCGAATAGATTTGGTTTTTGTTTCAAAAAATAGGTCATCCCATACGTTGTTTTAATGTGTCAATGTTCTGAAAACCGAAAGAAAGAAGAGGTTTTCCTTTTGAATTTCTATGTTATTATAACTGTTTCGGGAGTGCTGTGACCAAATAGATTGAAAAATGCTACTAGAGTTTACTATTTGGTACTATAAATCTGTAAATTTTTATGTTGATTTGTTTAACATCAGTATTAATTATATTCTATCAATCACACATCAAAATGCTATCAGCTAATGATGCGATTAAAGAAGCTGCGAGGATGAGCATAAGCCTATAAAAGCTGTTCAGTTATCTTGGAACTATGGATGGGAAGAAGGTTGTTTCCAAGATATGTGAGATGATAAATTGATAACAAAACCC